GGATAGAGAGTTAGAAACATCGATGAGAGAGAAACATCGATCAGTTGCCTCCTGCACACTCCCCACTGGGGATGTGCCCGCAACCAAAGTACATGCCCTTGACCGGAATCAAACCTGAGACCCTTGAGTCCTCAGGCCGACGCTCTATCCACTGAGCCAAACCAGCCAGGGCTGTCCCTGTCTTTTAAAAAATATGTATATTTTATTGATTTTAGAGAGGAAGAGAGACATAGGAATATCAATGATGAGAGGGAGCCTCCCTACTGGGTATAGAGCCCATAACTCGGGCATGTGCCTGACTGGGAATTGCACCTTGACTCCTGGTTCATAGGTCACGCTCAGCCACTGAGCCACACTGGCAAGGCTGTCCTCTAACAGAAAGCCTCTTTATTCTCCTAGAGCAGGGTGGGGAACCTTCTTTTTCCAAGTGCCATTTGAATATTTATAACGTCATTGGTGGGCCATACAAAATTATCAACTTAAAAATTAGCCTGCTATATTTGGTCATTTAATTTGACCAGAGCCAGACCAAATGCCTTGTCAGAACCAGACCAAATGATTTTGTGGGCCTTATATATGGCCTGTGGGCCGGACATTCCCCACCCCTGTCCTAGAGTATCGACAATCTTTAAAACCAATTGTAGGTTGTTATAAGGGAAAAAAATAATTTTATTTCTACCCTTCTGAGTTAGTTCTTAGCTGAGACCCCTGTTATAAAAGATGGTTAACAAGAGAAAAATCAATTTGTTAATATGTATATATCTCTCAGGTACACATGGAAGATACCCAGGGAAAAGGAGGGACTCAAAAAGACAATTGGGTTCCTTTTGGAGTATCTTCAGGCAGATGAATGGAGTTCAGAATAGCCTCTCCCTGCATGTTTTTTTCCAGTGCTTGCAGCTCAGAATAATGTCAAAGCAGCACGTTTTGGAGCGGCATGCCCTGTAATCCCACAGTCATATTTCGACATACCAAAATATGGCACATACAGTATTTACTTCATCTGGTCGTTTATCTCAGTTATTGGCATGTGTAGAATAGCACCAACGTGATGAAAAGATGAAACTAACATTGTGTCATATGTAGTGTACCTTTGAGTACTTAAATATTCTCCCCTAGCAGACAGGGTCTTCATTTCCCCTCAGTCCTACTTTAGAGAGAAAAAATAAAGTGTAAAGAAAAATAAAGTATAGGTATTCTATGTGGTAATTATATATTTTGTTTTTGTTGAGATCTAATGTCTACACGCGAAATGCCTAACTTAGCCTTAAGTGTAATAAGAGCTCCATTCTATTTAGTATTGTATTTGGCAAGTCCTTTATTTAGTGGTCCATTCTGCCAGTGGTTCAAACCAAGTAGTATTAAACCAAGTAGTATTGTCATTTGCTTTTCTCTTACAGACCTATTTTTTCCTTCTGTTTACTCCCTCTCTTTCTTGATGCCAAATCAAGAAAAGGCTTCTCCTTAGGAAGTTGTTAGCATGGGAAATTTTTGAGATTACTTATAAAGAATAGAATAATATCTTCTTGAGACGTTCATCGTCTGTTGCCTAGGCACTTGTCTTACTCAAATAGGCACAAGATTATAAGGCAACATAGCTTCAAATATTATGGTATAGGTCTTTCCTGACGTGTGATGATGAGAAATGGAGGAGCCATTTTTAGATCTTTGGAAAAAGAGACCATAGATCTTTAAGCTACCTTATATGTTTTTTGTTAGGTGTGAAAACAATGTATAAAACCAATATTTAATATATTTGTCAATTGGTAAAAGTATATTAATATCTAACTCAGTATATAAATAAAATATAGTTATTTTTAGTCACCAAATAAATTATATATTTAGTATGATAAGCTATATAGCACAGATGTTTCACCAAATCATTTTGGTAATTTCCAGATTTTATGTTGAGTTTTGGAATTATTGATATGGTCTTTTGTTTTGCTTAGCTTTTATTGTTTTAATTTTTGTTTGAGATACATTTGACAAAATAAACTTTATAAAATGATTTGCCTAATAAATTGATAGTCATTAAGTAACATGGAGTTGAAATAAGTAGAGACTTTCTCTTAATGTCAACAATATTTGTTTATGGTGCCGAATCTTCTCTTAGTTTCTAAGAGCAGTTAGTTTCAGGTTGGTTTTTTTTCTAGCCCTTGTGATAAAATTTGCAAGACCTTCTTAGTTAATTAGACCATAGTAGAAGCAGAGTAACAATTTGGTGCTCTTTTGTTGGGCTGCCTGGGTATGAATACTAGCTCTTCCAACTAAATATATGTTGGTAGTAGTGTTGAGCTGGCAGATTTGGGGGACTGACTAGTGCAGGAATCAATCAAACAGAAAGGATGCCATTTATGAATGAACAGGGTCTTGAGAGGCCCTTTTTTATGTGCCAAGGGGTAAGTCTTTTTTGTACGATGGAAGGTCCTGGGCAGTGGCCTGGGGAGTGGAGAGGACATTCAGGGGGTTTGGGCAGTAGCTAGTTACCAACCACAGTGAAAGTAACTTAGTATTGTAACAACTAACATATCTGTATTGGTGTATACTAGCTGAATATAAGCCTGAGTTGTATGTTAGGCAAGGGAAAGAATGAAATGCAGAGATATGGTATCTGATTAACCTGCCCCTGTAACACTTTGTGTCACACTCCAAATATCTGCCCACCTGGCAGTCGTGTACACGTTGTTATAACTTAGTTTCTTCTCTTAGCCTCTTCACCTTGCCCTGTCTTTCTGCCTGAAACATCCCGTCCAGTATACTTGGCAATCATCTTAACTTGAAGGGTTAATCTATGACTAGTTGATGTCACACAATTAGTGGTTTATTCAGAACTAGGTCTTGTCAGTATCATCTTTGGAAAAACAAAGGATAAAAATATCCTTGCATATTTGAACTCTTTTAAAGTTGCTTTGTGATGTTTATATAGCATCAGTTAGTTTGACAAGGAATTTATGTTCCTATTTGATTTACCAATGTATTAGATTCTTGGAGTTGCCATAACAAAGAACACAAACCAGCTAACTCAAACAACAGAAATTGACCTTCTCACAGTTCTAGAGGTTTGCAGTCCCACATTATGGTGTCAGCAGGGTTGGTTCCTTCTGAGGGCTGTGAAGGAAGACTCGGTTCCAGGCCATGTTTCTAGTGCTTTTCTGGCAATCTTTTGTTTTCCTTGGCTCGTATCACTTCAATCTCTGATTTCATCTTCGCATGGTGAAAATGTCTCCCCTCTGCATGTGCATGTCTGTGTTCAGCTTTCCCTTTCTCATGCAACATTAGTTATGCTTGGTTAGGGCCCACCCTGATGACTTCATGCTAACTTGACCATATCTGCAAAAACCCTCTTTCTGAGATGTTTGGGGGTTAGCACTTCAACATATCCTTTTGACGGGACACAGTTCAACCCAATACACCAGTATTAAATTTTTGTTTCAGCAATAGAAGTTTGAGGATATCTGTCATATTGGTTTTTATGGTTGTTGATATGTTTTAAATATCTCAAGTTTTTCTTAAATTCTAAGAATATTTTTTTTTCTAAATGATATTTATACTAGCGGCCACCTAGATTATCTGCCTAATAGTTATATTGTCTATGGATATATTTTCTATGGATATATTTACTACTTTGTGCAAACATTTTAGCTTTTGAAATTTTAATGTAATTAAGTGATGATGTGATGAATGACAATTTGAAATCTGAATGCTACAGACACTGTTTTTACTTCCTTTTGGAAACCCTTCTGGTAATGTTTGTCTAGTCTAGCCCTTGTATATTCTTTTACTGCACTCCTTCTTTAGGAAGTGATGAATCTCTTTTCCAGAAAGCTTCCACAAGATAATGAGAACAAGATTTTATATATAGTAATGCAATAAGCCAGATTAACTGTTCCATTGTCACTAGTTCTTTCTTAGTCTTGTACATTTACTTTGGAACTTCCTTGATGGTTTTCAAGTTGTGTAGTGTTCACAAGTATGATTTCAGATAGTCTTTAAAATTTTTTCAAAGGTGGAGTTCTTCCTTTTTTAATGAAAATCATTGGGAAAATACTGGATGCTATATAAATATTTCCTTTAGACACGTTTAGAATACTAACAGTATAAACATATTTCTGCAGGTTTTGGCTGGATCATCTCGTCAAAGTTATTCACCTTCTGGCTATCAGGATTTCACAAAGTGGGAATCAGTGTTGAAAATAAAGGAAGGATTGCTAAGGCAGAAAGAAATTGTAATTGATCGGTGAGTCTATTTTATTTTAATTACTAAATATTTCAGGCATACAGAAATGTAGATTTAAAAAAATACCTTTGTATCCACTATGTAGACTTTAAAAAAAAATAGAACTTTATCAAATACATTGTCTGTCTTTCCCCAATCTCAGTCCTTTTAAGAACCACACACAGAACTAAGGGTTTGTTGGTGGGTCAGTTTGTCTGTCTTCTACCATACTCCCAGTTACATTAGAGTAATGGATTATTTGGAAACTCATCTTCTTTGTACATGTTGGAAGTTAGCTGCAATGTTAATGAGCTATCAAAGCTGCAAGTAAATGTTTGCATTTCAGACTTAGGAAGTATCAAATTGGAAAGCTACTTTAATATCATTTCCTTTAATGTATGTTAGATATAAAGGCAGAGAAACTATGAAAATTATAAATATTTAAAGTTAGATGACTTACAGATAAGAATTTTGGATATGGGGGTATATTCCAAAAATTTTGTATGTTTGAGTACCAAAGCTCTGAAAAAAAATTCTGATATATTTAATAGTTTTCTGATTATTTTGAGCAATAAATCTAATATTATTTAATTATCTGCGATATGTGTTGGTTCTTTGTCATTTATGCATACTTTTGAGGTAATTAAACATGCTCAGTATCATGGTGGTTGGGAAATAGTTTGAGGAGGTGTTTAATCAATGCTAGTTACACTTATTTTCATGTGCTTATATGGGATAAAGTAGCAAACATTTTAGCTTTAAAATTAAACACTAATTCAAACTTTTAAATATACTTTAGAGTTGAAATTTCAAAAGATTTTACTTAGGAATTAAAGACCTACTGGAGTATGAACTAGAGCGTAGACATCGGGACTTTCTTATTTTCTACTATTTTCTCTTGAACAGAGTCTGACATATAGTATATGCTTAATGCTTGATAATGAAGATTCTAGAAGATAGTTTTAATTGATTTTATGAAAAAGCTTTAAAATTATTTGATATTTCTAATACAAGTGAATTTTGTATATGAGTAGTCACAGCTTGTATATATTTTGAACACTTACAATTTAGTGCATTGTACAATCCTGAAATGAATACTTTAATTTTTTAAAAAATTTATTTTACAACTAGAGGCCCAGTGCACAAGATTCATGCACTCAGGGGGAGGAGGGTCCCTCAGCCCTGCCTGCACCCTCTCACAGTCCAGGAGCCCTTGGGGGATGTCCAACTGATGGGGAGTGGACCTACGCCAGCAGTTGGACATCCTTAGCACTGCTATGGAGGCGGAAGAGGCTCCTGCCACCACCACTGCGTATGGCAGGGCTTCTGGATGAGCAGTGCTCCCCCTGTGGGAGCGCACTGACCACCAGGGGGCAGCTCCTGTGTGAGTGTTTGCCCCCTGGTGGCCAGTGTGCATCATAGTAACCAGTCGTTCGCTGTTCAGTTGATTTGCACATTACCTTTTTATTATATAGGATTACAGCTGACAGTATCATATTAGTTTGAGGTGTATAACACAGTGATTAGACATTTATATACTTTACAAAATGACCACCCCAATAAGTCTAGTACCCATCTGGCATCATACATATGGCAATATAACTGACTGTATTTCCTATGCTGTACTTTTTAAAAACATTTTTTATACTCTGACTTCAATTTATGTTTTGCAGGCAGAAGCAACAAATTACCCACCTACACGAGCGGATAAGGGATAATGAATTACGGGCACAACATGCCATGTTAGGACACTATGTAAATTGTGGGGATTCTTATTTGTCTAGTTTGCAGGTAAGATTACAGAGGATTTTATAGTTGTTTTTATTAAAAAGGCATATTAATTTTATACTTAGACTTGTTCGATGCAGGGTTGCCACAAACTTTCATTTGTAAAAAATGCAGTAACTGCCAACTGTAATAATGACAAACACGACAAAATGAGGTATGCCTGTATTTTCTTTGGAGAAATGTCTGTTCAAGACCTCTGTCCATTTTTTAATTTAGTTGTTTGTTTTTTTGATGTTCAGTTTTAGATTTTCTCTATGTACTCTGGACATTAATACTTTATCAAATATGCAACTTGCAAACATTTTTTCATTCTGAGTTGCCTTTTTACTCTGTTGATAGTGTCTTTTCATGTACAAAATATTTTAATTTTTATGAAGTTCACTTTACCTACTTTTTTTTTTGCCTCTGTCTTTGGTGTCATATTCAATAAATCATTGCCAAATCCAATGACATTAAGCTTTTCTGCAATTTTAGGTCTGACATTTAGATCTTTGATATATTTTGAGTTAATTTTTATATATTATGTTAGATAAGGATCCAATTTCATTTTTTGCATGTGGACAATACAGTTTTCCAAAAACCATTTATTGAAAAGACTGTCTCTTCCCCATTGACTGGTCTTGGCATCTTGTCAAAAATCATTTCACTGTATATGTGAGGGTTTATTTCTGATAACAGTATTTTAATAGAACTGTGCAGTTTGTCCTTGTAATTTTATTATTTTGAATAAAGGCTTTACTTGAATGATACAATTATTATATTACCAATGGTATGTAAAATATAATGTGTATCCGAAAGCTGAATAAAATCCTTTCTGACATAGCATCAGGCCAGTAGAGGGCTCTCAAAGCCAGTCAGCCAGGACAGATAGAAATAGCAAGGATATGGAAAAGGGGCTAGATTACTAAAACTATTACAAGGATTTTAAATTATGTGGATAATTAAAATATTGTTAAGAAATTTGATTTTAAATGATTACGGTGGTTAATAAAAGGGAGATACCTGAAGTATTAACTGGATAGATCTAGAGAGCTAATTAAATGGAAGGGGTTAGAAGAAACAACAGATATGATGGCAAAACATTTCTTTCGCAAAGGGATTTTCACCTTGAATCTATGAACAATATTAATTTTAATGCACAGCATTTTGCATATGTACATTTTGGGGTTCATAGTATGTTCATCCTAATTCCATAACACATTAAACAAAGAAAATAATCCCTTTAATAATTCTGTATATTCTAGGTTAAATAAAACAAGTTTTTGAAATAAAATAACATTCTTTTATGGATTTATAGGTGAAAAACATGTTCTTGAGAAGTAATTTCTATTTGCCCATTAAAAACTTTAATAACCTTACAGTCCTGATGACCTGAAACATAGGCATCACCAAGGCTCAGAGGCAGGAAATGAGAACTCGGTCTTTATCCTGAACTTCCAACTTCCTAGATTGTTTAAATGGCAGAATTGGTATAACCAAAGCGATTTGTACTATAGTGCCTTATACTAAAATGTCAACCTGTGGTTAACAGGACTTCATGGAAAAACAAAACAAAATGTGGACTCTTTTGTTAAAGACTAAAGAAGAAAGACCAGGCCAAATACAAGGGAAATGCCAGGAAGTTACCAAAAAAGCCAGGGGATTTACAAAACATAGTTCACAGTCTTCTGAAATCATGTTACTTTCTTGTTCTAAAAACATCACTGGCTTTCCATTTTCTATGAATTAAGGTTAAACTCTGAACCGTGCTGTTCTACAATATGATCCACTTAGATTTTTAAATGTTTCTTTATACTCCCCGTTCTTATAACCTATACCTTAAACACACATGAATACTCTCTGTATATGTTCCATCCTTTGCCTTTTTGAATTTTTTTTTCTTTTTTCTATTACTGCTAGAATCTTTCCTATTTTCAAAATCTATCTCAAAAGCCACTTTCCCAGTAAACCCTTTTTTCTCATTCTCCCAGTGCTGTTATCATTTATCCTCACACTTCCTGAAACTTTGCACTTAATATGACTTTTCTTTGTCTGCCATATGATATTATGTCCAATATATAATTATATAAGGTTCCTTTTATGCCTCTCATAATCTATAATAATAAAAGCATAATATTCTAATTAGACTGGACAGCCAAACGACCTTCCGGACGTCATTCCAGACGTCCTTCCTGATGAAGCCGTGGTGGCAGAGGCCGAGGCAGAGGCTGTTAGGGGTGATCAGGCAGGCAGGTGAGCAGTTAGGGGTGATCAGGCAGGCAGGCAGAGTGATTAGGGGCTATCATCAGGCAGGCAGGCGAGTGGTTAGGGGTGAGAAGGCAGGCAGGCAAGCAATTAGGAGCCAGTGGTCCAGGATTGCAAGAGGGTGCAGGCTGGGCTGAGGGACTCCCCGCCCCCTGCAGTGCACTGAGCCTCTAGTTTCAGTTTATAAAAGGCAGTGCCCAACTGTCATTTTTGACATACCCTGAACATGATAAATCTACTTATATGCTTTTTTATTGCATCTTCACCTTTGTGTCAGGTTTTTGTTGTTTTTTATTAATTCAACTATAGTCTTTATAGACTCGTGTGTGTGTGTGTCTGATTTCAGTTCTAGGATCTTACTCAGGGTCTCACACAGCTAGCTTGCTTTTTTTTTTGAAGAGATGTCATAATTTATTTTCAGATATAAAATATGATTTTTATGTAGCTACCATTAGTTTTTTTATTTAAAGAAAAACTATTTTAAATGTAATAATATTG